GAGAGAGAGAGAGAGAGAGAGAGATAGAGAGAGAGAACGCTCCCATCCACATGTACCAGTGAACTTGTGAGGGCGGAGGCCAGAAGAGGGTATTAGCTCCCTCAGACCTGGAGTTACAGCAGCTAGTTTACAGGATTTACTGAAAGAGAGTGCCCCTCAGACCCGCCTCCCTGGCCTCTGAGAAAAAGCTGAAAAGTCAGGTCTCCACCTGACTCTGGAAATCCCCTTCATTGTTCAAACCCTTTCCTGGTATCTGTTTATGATTTCTATGGAAATGGTCTGGGGCAGAAGAGATAGAACGTTCTGCCTCAGGTAAGCTAGCCAATGACAGTATACTTAATACATCTGTGTATGGTCTCTGTTGTGCCCAGTTCGCGAGACCCCCAAAGACCACAAAGGAGCCGACCGATGCAAACACACAAGGGTTCTTTTATTGTTGCAAGCTTAAGCTTGGGTCCACTCTGTCACCGACCCGGCAGATCTCAGAAGTGAGCCCCCTTGGTTTGGGAGACAGAGGTTTTTATAGGTTTATTTCAGCAAGTTCAGCAAGTAGGGGAGCAGGGGGTCTCCAGCCTGGCAAGCCTCTGATTGGTTGCAGCTCAGTGCCAAACCATAAACTGCTGGCTTCAGGAAATCTGAAAAGATATCTGGACTTTTAGTACCTTCCTGTCCCTGGTTAACTGACCATTGGCGGGGGAGTTGTTCTCTATCCGTTCCAAGTATTGCGGTTTTTCTTGGAACAGGGCCCAGGGCTGGGTTAGTCCTATGGAGGTTTTATCCAAGATGGAGTCACTCAGGTCTCTCACCTCTATGGGAATAATCTGGGGCAGAAGAGAAAGAACGTTCTGCCCCAGGTAAGACAGCCAATGGCTGTATAGGTAAAGTTTCTGGAAATAAGCCCTAGATTGTTCCAATCCTTTCCTGGTTATTCTGTGTATAGTTTCTGTGAATATCCCCTGCTTTGTGGTTTTTGTGGGTTTTCTGCTTAAAAGCCCTGCATTTTCACTGCTCGGGGTCACAGTACATCTCCCAAGACTGTCTGTGCCCCCAGCCTGTTGGCCTCAATAAAGCGTTTCTGTTTACTGAGTCTCAGTATCTGAGTGATCAATTTGGGGAATTCCTCGGACCCCGAACATTACAATTTTGTACCTGGGTGATTAGGATGAAAACACAGGGCTCAAGATTGCATCAAGCAATCTTTTTTTTTTTCTTGTCTTTTTATCTTTTTGAGAGTCAGGGTCTCTCTGTAACCCCAGGTGGCCTGGAACTCACTATGTAGACCAGGCTGGCCTTGAACTCACAGAGATCCGCCTGCCTCTGCCTCCTCTAAAGGTGTGCATCACCACACCCAGATTTCGAGTCAGCCAATCTTTTTTTTCTGTCTTTTTGAGACAGGGTCTCCCTGTAGCCCCAGCTTTCCTGGAACTCACTGTGTAGATCAGGCTGTCCTCGAATGAGTCAGGCAATCTTAACCCTGAGCTACCTCTCCACTGTCCCCTCCTCTTATTAAAATGCCTGTTTTCAGATGTTGGTTTATTCTGGTTTTGGAGTATTTTGCATATACAAAATACATAACTTGGGGACTGAACCTAAGCCTAAACACAAAATTTTATTTCCTATATGCCTTATGCACATACTTAAAATTATTTTATGCAACACCTTAGGTATGCTTGCATCTGACTGTGTGGAATTTTCTCTACATGCAATTATATTACTGTGCATAATAAACTTCAAATGTTGGAGCATTGTGGGTTTAAGGTTTTTTTAATTAAAAGAATCTCTACTTGTTTCCCCCCCCAAGTTATGTATTTTGTA